TCTTATATACCTGCTGAACCCGTCTCATACAGCTGCCATTGTAAGGCTCAAAGACACTTTGTAGAGAGCAATTTAACAAAACTGCCTCTAGGAGCCGCCAATGGAAATAAAACAGACACGCACAAAAAATGTGTGTACGCCAGCCATAAAGCTGGCGTGGAGCTGCGCACATTCCCACGTTCAGTTCATTGTTAGTAAATCCAAACGTGAGCGATTCTGAGCGTGAAACCTGGCGTAGTTTTTGTACATACGCAGCGTTGATACATGAGGCCCCAGGGGTTTTGAATGATTTCTGGTTCTGTGACACAATAGTGACACAAACTCTGAAAGGTCATCTGCTGAAGCCCAAAGCGTTTGGAACATTCCTGTGTAAAATGAGGGTTTGGGTTTGAGATGTGGATCCCTCCAATTCTTTCCAACTGCACACCTGGATCCAGAAGCTGGTGATTACAGCCTTTCACACACTTATACCATGGTATCAGGTGTACAGTAGAGGTCTTACTCATTTCACTGGCTCCATGAGTCTCAACAAATTTGTCTGTAAGACAAGAATCAAGCCAACAACTCTTAAATTCCAACAGAGCCTTGATATTAGTAGAAAGCGGAAAGCCGAAGGTACATATGGATGATGAACAAGAATGAATTTGTTTACAGAATATGGTAGGGGGGAGCTATAGAAGGTTGCATGGAGTAGACGTGTTTTGCTGAGCTCCTCCACATGAACTTCACAAAGGTTGCCGTCTTTAACTTTAATTTCATATCCCTGCTGTCTGAATATCTTATTGAACTTTTTTCAGTACTCTGTCTACATTTTAATGCACAAGAATGACTTTAAAGGAACTGAAAGCCTCTAAAAGCTCTGGTCAGTTAAAGCCAAATGAAGACCGTTGACAAAGACATAACTCCAGCATGGGAAAAGACTTCGAACAAGATTCTTACAACTACACATGAAAGAATGTATATGTTTGAGGAAGATTTTTAATCTCTCCAGACAATGGTGCGTTAATTTTTGGAAAAAGAAGAGGCTGTCAAATCTCAGACACAGGATCATGATAGCTGACTGCACTCTCTTTAAAGGGCTGTATCAGACCTGCAGGAATCAAATGAAACTCTCAAAGCTAAAGTCAACGGCCTTAGAAGGATGATCTCGGTGAAACAATATTAAAATATTTGGTGTTTCACAAGGATGGAAGAAAGGGAGACCGACCAAGTGTATTGTGTTGGAATATATAATCAACTCCACGCATGTTCAATTAAAAAAGGTCTGAAGAGGGTTTTCTTCAATGTCAAAATATTAGTAATTTATTAGGTACAAATGAATAATTTGATGAACAGAATTCTTTGTATCCTCAGTTTATTTCAAGAATTGCATTAAGGAGGTGTGACACAAGAATTTAAACACCGCTGATATTAACAAGTGGAGTTTAGTGGAATTCGTCACTTATCAATCATTATCAACAATTCTCCAGTCTTCTGGCGGCTGCACCCAAACATACTTTCTCTTCTTAAACATACTTTCTCTTCTTCTACAAATTCTCTGCACAACATTAAAAGCATGAGACTTTTCAACTGTAAATGTTCCGTGTTTAATTTCATCTCTGTTCACAGGAAGTTTAGCTGCAGAGCTCAAGTGAATTTTAGACATTCAGGCCTTTGCATTCAATCAGCTCCATCTACTTCTACAAAAATGTTTCAGGCGTATCACACTCAGAGAAGAGGTTTGGTTAATATATCACCTTAAGCATACAAATTCAATGAAAAGAAAAAAAAACAAATATTAATAAAAAAATAATAATACATTTTTCCAATAATTGCGACATTTATTCCAAAACAGAATATTTTTAAATATTTCCCAAATGATGTTTAACAGAGCAAGGAAATTTTAACAGTATGTTTGATAATGTTTTTTTTCTTCTGGAGAAAGTCCAGTATTAAATAAAGTATTTGTTTTATTTCAGCTAGAATAAAAGCGGTTATTAATTTAAAAAAAAAAAACATTTTAAGGTCAAAATTATTAGCCCTTTTTAGCAATATTTTTCCGATAGTCCACAGAACAAACCATCATTATACAATAACTTGCCTAATTACCCTAACCTGCCTAGTTAACCTAATTAACCTAGTAAAGCATTTAAATGTTTAAGCTGTATAGAAGTGCCTTGAAAAATATCCAGTCTAATATTATTTACTGTCATCATAGCAATGATAAAAAAAATCAGTTATTACAGATGAGTTATTAAAACTAATATGTTTAGAAATCTGTTGAAACAAAACACATCTCCATTAAACAGAAATTTTTGAAACAATAAACAGAGGGGCTTATAATTCTGACTTCAATTGCACATACAGTCGACATATTTTATATTAATGTTAATTCTTTTTCAAATATTTTAATTGCTGTTTAACAGAGAGAACATGTTTAAAACAAGCTTGTTTAAATATCTAATTTCATTGATCTTTTCCATGATGACAGTCATAATATTTCACTAGTTATTTTGCCAGATAGCAGTATTTAAAGTGCTATTTAAAGGCTTAACTAGGTTAATTTTATTAAGTCATTGGATAGCAGTTGTTTGTTTTGTAGCCAAAAATAAAATAAAAAAATTCTTAAGGAGGTTAAAAATGCTAATCTAAAATGTTATTTATATATATATTTATATATATATATATATATATATATATATTAATAATATATATAATATATAATAATATATATTAATAACTGCTATTCTAGCAAAAAAAGGAAATACTGCGAAAAAACCTTGAACTTGGTAAATGTTTAAAAAGGATTAAAATTTTGATGATCAGGAGGCAAGTTGGAGAAAATTCCTAGTTTAAAAGCTGTAATTATGAGTTCTACAAGGACATAAATGCTTTTTTACTAGTGGGAATCTTGTAATTACGATCATTTCAACATGCCACGAACACACCTCAAATCAGCATATGCCTTCTGAAGGATTACACGATACGAAGTGTAATGCATATTGAACATGATGCTTAATTTATCTTAAAAACAAGTATATATAATACATTAACCCAATACTGTACAAATAAGCAGCCTTTAAAGACAACAGACTACAAAACCCAGGGAGAGAGAAGGAGCACATGGTAATTGTTGAGGGCTCGTCTTTGCCTTGGCAGAGGGAAACTCCGTCCAATAAAGGGATGAAAATAAACCGTAAATGAAAGGCTTCAGAGACGTGGCTGGACCTCGCAGCCTGAAGCAGATTAGAGCCTGCAGACATTCTGACCACTTGAGCCCTCAATGTTCTCTTCAGCTCGCTTCATACTCACTACAGCTGATTTACTCTACAGGAGATCTGGAGAATATTTTATATGAACTAATATTTATAAATGGTATTAATCACAATGTACATGCTCAGCTGGCAAAAGAGCTAAGAGATGTGAACAACTAATCTCAGTTGCAAGACAATTATATCATAACGTCACAGGAAACAAATACTACATATAATGCAATGGGAAAACTTCAAACACCACTTGGGATTTCTGATTGTCTCTGGACTAACAAATTGTAGCTATGTATTTAAGTAAAACATTTTTTGCTTAGGTAATTTAGTTCAGCAACTACTAAATACATTTAAAATAATAAACAAAATACAGCATAAAATAACAACTGTTTAAAATAACAATCAAGCAAAAAAAATGTCCAGCAACCTTTTTGACAAGCATATTTATTTTTTGGACACTATAACAATTTTAATTTTAGAAGAGTTCATTTCAATTCATATTTGGTGGAATAAGCCCTGTTTTTCAACCATACAAAAATAAGATGACATTTGTTATGCTGACAAAATTTGTTTCAGAAAAATAAATTGCATTAAATATTATTTTAACCTTTTATAAAATGTAATAAAAATTAAAATATTAGATCGATATGCTTTATTAATTAAAAATGATATTACATTTATAATATTAATTGTATTAAATGTATCATTTTAACTGTCACATTTTAACCTATAATTTAATTTTGTTTGTTTTTTACAAGTGGTTGCTTAAATTTTTTATAAGTATTGGGATGAGTATATAATCTAAGTACAGGACTGTGAAATGCTTGATTGGCTGATGGCAGTGCTTCATTTGTAAATGAATAATTTCAGGAACGAAAGCAAGAAATAAAAGCTCCCGCTATCAGGCTATCCTGATTCGGGGTGCTGTTTCATCTTCTCTTGATCAGGCTCATTATCAAATTTATGTGGTTAAAAAAAAATAATAATAAATGCTTGACCGCTTTTTTAGTGATTTGAAAATACAAGTGTTATTTAGGTAGGCCACTATGTCATTATTTTCGCTGTTAACAGCACAAAACCATAATCACCAACCAATGAGAGTGATTATAAATGTAAGAAAGCTGATTGGTTGAAAGTGACAACATTTATGCAGCTTTGCCCGCTGCTCTCTCTCTCACATACATGCACACACACACACACACACACACACACACACACACACACACACACACACACACACACACACACACACACACACACACACACACACACACACACACACAGGTATTCACTACTCAAAAGTACCGTGGAAATTAAGCACTGGCTGATGAACTTTTCAGGGTGTGTGTGTGTGTGTGTGTGTTTTCAGGGAAACAAAAATAAAACAGCTCTAGGGAGGTTTTGCATTACACTTCCATATCACTAAGCTGAATGATTTATTCTGTTCATTGCCTTCAAAAGTCAAAGATCAAATTAAAACTTTCAGAAATTTGTATACAAAGGAGCAAAAACAGCACGTCTATTAACCAAGACAGAATAATAACAGTAATTTAGTCAGAAAGTACAAGATTATTGTAGCAAGCTTGTGTGGCAATTCAACAGTCCTTCCATTTCCTTTCCGTTTCTAGCAAGGCCTCCTTATATTTCAAGCCTAAACTATGCTGAAACACCCAGCATCCTGTGAAACACTCCAAACCAGATGACAATAGCAGGCTACTGGTTGGTAATTCTGTAAATTGAAAAGCCAGATCTCACCTGTGTGGTTTGCCAGGTGGATCTGCAGCATGTCACCTTAAATTTGTCCTTCGTCACCACTTCTGGCCAAGCAGTCTGCATGAGATGATGAGGAAAATGACAGGGAAAATGGAAACGGTCACTTTTGGAAGATTCCAGAAGCTGGAAACAGAGAAAAATGCCTCAATCTTCCTACAAACCTGCTGCACCTTAACGGAAAAGTCATTAAAGATTGCTGCTTGATCCCAAAACTAGACATTTTTGTGTCTGATGCAGCTGTATATTGTATACTCAATGAGAAATAAACAAGACCAAGAATACTATACCCTAATACAGGGGTTTTCAAACTTTTTTAGCTGAGGGCCCCTTTGTGTAGGGCGAATTCTTTTGGGGACCCCCCAAAAATAAAAATGACGCCACCCCCTCAAATTAACAACTGTACTTAATTTTTTTTAAATTGTATTATTCAATACATTTATATTATTATATATTATTCAATAAATTTATATTATTCATTATCTGGATTAATTTTTGTAAGATGTTAGTTGAGTTGACATGGTTTTAGTGCTTCAATCTATTGATCAAATCTTGATGCGCAGTACTCATTGTGGTCTGCTCTCACTGGATTATTCCATCAAGCCATATTTTGTGTTTGAGTCGTCACTTTACACAGTTTTTATGCCATTTTTATGCTTTTTTTCAGCCTATGCACAGCTAGACTCTTCTGTATTTACCTTTACAGCTGAGAGTCTAAATGTATCTAAAGATTTAAAGCTTTAAAGTTTTAAAGAGTTTTGTCATTCATCAGCCTGTTAACAGTTAACTGTACTGTTGTAACTAGCAATACTACAATGGAGGCTGTAGTGGTTCAGTGTGTTTTGTTTATTTTTATTCCTTTTTTTTGTGCACATCATAATTTACTCAGGTCGACAATCCTGACTTACACTGATAAAAAAATAATTTCCTAAATGCAATCTAGAATTGGGTATTCAAGTTCAAAGAGCCACAAGTTTTACTTTGCTTAATTTTAGAAGCTTTGCTGACTTTAAAATGTTCATACCAGTTTGTTCTATTAATAATAATACTGAACATTACATTTTAATTAGTTACACAAACAAATATGGGAAAAAGTGGAACAAAAATGCATTTATATTCAGAGTATTAAAGTTTGATCAGGTATGTTGAGCTCCATTAAATACAGAGCACTAATACATTTTAATATTTAATAATTATTAGCCCTATAACATAACACAAACAGATACATTATAATTTTTAAAGGCTATAGTGGTTTTACTGTGTGTATACAATTTAGTTTTTTTAATCATCCAGTTATGAAACAATGTGTGTAAGACGTCCACTGCAGAGCTCATCCAGCTGTCATTAGTGTAACAGGAGTGAAACTGAGCACTCGCTGATGTGATGACAGCTCCATTCATTGTTATTGCAGCACTTTTTGCTTTACAATTTTAATATGTTTGTTTGCCATGCTGCAAAGTCTGATATTTGTACAATGCAAAGTGTAAAAGCCTGTCGCGCTGTGGACGAGGTGCAATGTTGTGCCGTGTCTTTAAAATGCTATTTGTTCCTTATGAGTGAAGCCTGCGCAGAGAGGCGCGCGCTCCGCAGCACCCAGCTGATCGGTTACTTAGGAACGCAAGCCATAAACAGGGAAGTGCTTTCAGCCATCGATAATGTTCTTATTGATCATGTATTTTAACTGAAATATAGTCAGTCAAACCTGAGCATTCATTTAGTTGTTAAGCGTAAAAGAGGTAAGCGTAAGTGAAAGGTAAACGCCGTCAGGTGCAACAGACAAGCGCCAAAAATCACAGTCAGGAAGCGCCTGGCCAGAAGCGCTTATTCAATAAAAGTCCCCGTCCACGGAGGCGGGCCGCTGCGCTTCTTTTCCTGTGTCACGAAAGTGTCAACTGCATTTAAATTACATAAGTATAAAGCTTCATTTTTGCAGTACTTTTGAGCTCAAATTATAATAAAAATATATTAACCTTCAGAATGATGCAGAACACAAAGTTCATCCATGTGGGCTCATTGATCTAAAATTTCTTTGCGGCCCCCCAGGGGGCCGCGGACCCCAGTTTGAAAACCCCTGCCCTAATAGGTTAGTTCAACTCAACATGAAAAAAAATGATCATTACTATTTACCCACCCTCATGTCGCTCTAAACCCTCCTGAGACATTTGTTTATCTTCAGACCACAAATTAAGACATTGTAAATGAAATCTGAGAGCTCTCTAATCCTCTGTATACACAAATTGTCCATAGATGTTCAAAGTCCAGAAAAAGACGATCAAAACAATTTGTATGAAGCTCCAAGAACACTTTTCTATGACGAAATTGAAAATTTAAAAACACTTTGTTCACCAGTGTCTTCTCCAGCATGTCAGATCAGGCTGTGCTTTTACTATGGGAAATACAATATATGGTCATTAAGGTCATTATATACTGTATGGTCATTCATACACATACAAATATGCCAAACCCTAAATAAGAGCTTGTGCAAAACAAATTTCACATTTTGCTGCTTTCCAAAGTTCAAGCTTGGTGAATGCTGACCAGTGAATTTACAACATATCATTGCATGAGTCTAATAGAAGATTAAAAAATGTAATTACCTGTCTGTACAGAGGTTTAAAACATGGAGGAATCCATTACTTTGTCAGTGTAGCATCTAGGTTTATCCTGCCTTTTTTTTCTTTTCACAGTCATCTGAACAAATTTTGCATGCATCAATTCTCTGACCACGGCTTTAGTGTGAGCAGTGAAACATCCAAGCTATTGCATGTATAACTTGTATTAAATGCACACTTTGACCTGAAAAGAAACAAAAGACATTGGTGATCAAAGTCATTTTTACATTTAAGATAAATTCATCTAAAAATTAAAATCCTAATAATTTATTAATTCGCAAAACTTTAAGACCTTACAAACACCATAACTGTTGCTCTCCTTTTTGAAGTCTATTTGAGACAAACTCTAAAACGATTTCAGAAGTAATGAAGGAATAATTCCATATAAATCAAATTGTTTTTGTAAAAGATCACTTCATATTATGAACAGATTTAATTTAGGCTTTTAGACATATAAACATGAATCAGAAAGCGTAAACAGAGGCTTAATTATACCTGCATGATCAACAAGAACAAATCCAAAGAATCAAACTCAAACTTGCCATGTGACACAAGATTAATATTAATTGGTTTGTGATTGAGCTTCAGTAACCAAAATCTGAATGCTGCGAACATGGGCTCTGAAGCAAGTGTGTTTCTTCAGAAGATTAAATTGTTATCAATGAACAGACAGAAGAAAAAAAAGATTTTAAATACTTTTATTAAGAATATGTGTGCAATAACATCATGGTGAATAAATGATAGGAATTAACCATTTAAAGTGAATCCTGAAACCTTTAAATTTATATATTGATTAATAAAAATTGTACCTATGGAGGTCTAGTTAAATCCACCAGTGTGCAAAGTATTTTAGTACTAAGTGGTGTGCTTGGTTTGGCTTATGTCAGCCATTTCACAGCTCTGAAACATGACCCTGGCAGGAAAGAACCTGTTGAGAGCCCACTATGTCAAATTAAATGATGCTTTTGACTGTGGCACAACAGGCTAACACTGGGCCATCAGTGAGCATCTGACACTTTTTTGCAGTATTTTCCACAGGTCGGTGGCAGTTGGCATAATTCAGCAATTTCAGGCAATTTATTTATGATTACTCTTAATGAAAGTTCAGTTTAGTGAATGAGGGCAAAAGAATAAAACGCAAGATCTATCAAGATTAGGTTCTAATGTTGCTTCTATTTTCCAGAGCACTAAATAACACACTACTATTTTTATAACAAACCAAGATGTCTAAAACAAATAAAGTGATTAATGTAATATTCAAAATGGAAAGTGAGGTCTGCTTTGTTTATGGTTTGTATATATCTGCATTCCACGTTTCTGTTTCTCTTTTTGACTTAAAAAAAAAACAACATAAAACTTCTGAACAATAATAATCTACTGATATAGATGGTCATTTCATTAACAGCAAATGCAGAAACCATGTGCTAAGAGACTTTACATTAAGGTTACATACAGAAGAATGTTTATTTTTTCAATACTTTTCTAAACAATAGTTTTAATAACTCATTTCTAATAATTGATTTATTTTATCTGTCATGATGACAGTAAATAATATTTGATTAGATATTTTCAAGACACTTGTATACAGCTTAAAGTGAAATTTGAAGGCTTAACGAGGTTAACTAGGAAGGTTAGGGTAATTAGGCAAGTTATTGTATGATGATGGTTTGTTCTGTAGAGTATTGAAAAAATAAATAGCTTAAAGGGGCTAATAATTTTGACCTTAAAATGGTTTTAAAAAATTTGAAACTGCTTTTATTCTAGCCAAAATACAACAAATAAGACTTTCTCAAGAAGGAAAAATATTATACTGTGAACATTTCCTTGCTCTGTTAAACATCATTTGGGAAATATTTTAAAAAGAAAAAAATAAATAAATCAAAGGGGGGCTAATAATTCTGACTTCAACTGAATTAATGAGATGTCCTGGGTTAAAATCCCAAAAGAAGTCTCCATACGTTACACCTGTAACAATGATGTAACTAAGATAGACCATGCAGCAAATCAATATTTTAAGAGTTCACACTTAGCTGATGATTGATAATAAGCTTGTTTGGTATACTGTCGCTGGAGAGACCCCTGAGCTTGTAAGATCCTCAAGTCGATCCTCCCATTAGTTTGCAGGGCGAGAGGAGAGTTTGAGCTCAAGTACATCTCAATGATCTCCCCCAACTTATTTCTGACTAATAAAAGATTAAGGGATGGCTAAAGAGAGTTATATGGCTTAAGAGTTTGGCTACGATGCCAAATTAGAATGTTCAACAAGGCGTAATAAGTTGAGCAGCGGCCACAATGAACTCCCTATAGCAGGTTTAAATAAAACAATGCCAAGCATCAACTGCACTCAAGTCACACTCCAATCATCAAAACATTTAACAAAGAAACAGAAACCAAAACACAGAACCATATCAACTCTATTCTAACAATTCTACTTAATTCAATAATTCTATTCAATTCAATTAAATTCAACCCAATTCAAACTATTCTAAATCAAC